AACCGGGATACGGGGGCAGGGGTAATGGCGCCGGGATCATGGATGGCATCAGCACGCACGGCGCTGCTTAGCGGTACGAAGACCTGCTCTGGGAGTCTGGTCACTCTGGCCACTGGTATTGGGCATTGCGAGCGATTGAAACCTGTGAAGCATCCCAGGCCATTCATCTTGATCCAAGGCAACATGAGTGAAAAACGTGTGCGAGTAAAACGAACCCGAGAAGACGATGGCGGCAGCATCCGGACCTAGTTTGCTGCAGCACTCGGGCAAGAAAACAAGGTTGATAGCACAATTCCCAATGACACATGTCACTCTCCGCACAAACAACAACCACATACGCAACCTAAGATATGTACCGATTCCTACCAGGCACTTCCATATTCCCTACCTTTCTCCCTGCACTATGGATACACGTAGGTATTCTGGCGATAACCACTGACGTTGAATCCATTGGGCCAGGTCACTAGGTGCGAAGATACCTACAGCTCCCATGCATCAGCTCAGCTTCATCGGAAATCAGGCATGCATAGCGGGTGCATTATGTACCCGGGCGTGATAATCAGGCGATGATACTTGGTGCAACCCTCACATTCAGGCACGTTGAGACCAATTCTTGGAAAGTCGGTATGTTCCCTGTGGAAAAGCCTCTTCGGATCGGTCGGACCGCTAAGATCATTGACCTAACGGAGTCTCTATCAATTTCTACCACACTCTAGCCGCTTACGCTCTAGCTACTGTGCTGCCATCTTAACCTTGCCTAGGTAAGGTAAAGTACCTCAGGGAAAAGCAGCTTGCTGTTCTGGGCAGAGCGGTACGTACCTGACTACTCTAATGGGAAGAGCTCTGACCTGGCCGTTGGCCCATGCTTCGGCGGCGCCGCGATCTTCTTTCGCTTCCATCCTCCAGCCATCAATCATCGAAAGACCGAGTCTGCATCGGACTCTTCTCTTGCTCCGTATTTCTGCTTCAACTGAGGTTGCGTGGAGCAACTTTCTCTCTTTAGATTGTCGAAATACCATCCCTACTCAGAAGCTTTGCCCGACCGCAAGCCAATTCTAATAAACTGCATCCATGGTCGACTTAGACTCGTTACAATCATTTCGTCACTCGCATATTTGTGCTCGTACGGAGTACACAAATAGTTCGACTTGGTCTGAAACCAGCCACCCGAATGGTCAATGGCGAGCTAGGTATTCAACCACCGCTGATCCGGGACGCTACCGACCTAAACGCAGCTTGCGGCTTCCCATAGCCTCGGCGTCCAAGACAATTCAAACCCGTCTTTGCCGCCTTAGTCCGGAGTGCGGCGTGCCAGGCATATCACGGATACACGTGCGCATCAGGCCATCTTTGGCATTTTTCAAAGTTTCCCGCTCCGTTGCCAACGAATATCCGTTCCAAGTACTCTTCAAGAGCAAGACATCAAGAACTATTAGGCGGGAGCAGCGTCTCCCGAATACTCAACCGTTGCGTTCGCCATTCGAGAAACAAGACCCCATCGTACTCCACCACGGCGGGAAACCCATTCCACTCGACGTCCATCCCCAGCCACGCGAGAAGCTTGCCAACGATGCCCAGCACCAAATCCGCCAATCCAAGCCTTTTCTCTCCCAAACGAGCCGGGATATCCCATCCCCCTGCTGCCAAACGTTTTTAAGCTAACACTCACCGCAGATCTGCGTGTCCATCTCCCGACCACTGGTCTGCAACTCGACTCCATCTCCCTCGTGCTGCATCACCATTGGTCGGAAGTAGTTCTGCCACGAGGTCTGGCTACATTCTGAAGCGTCTAAGAGGTGTAAACCTCCGGGGCGGCTTGCCCTAGAGCCGCCTCGAGTCCAGACGGCACGCGCGTCGATACAGCTCCATGGAATGGACAGGTCCAGCCGATCTACCCTTTCTGCCACGAAATCCTTCGATGGAAGAGAAGTTGGCATCGAGATTCACAGTCGAGAAATGCTGGTACCGGCTGACTTCTCGGTCGCCAAACCCCCTGCTTAGCAACACCCCATTTGCCTAGCGGTGGCTTTGAGACACAGGCATGTCGAATTCACGAAGAGACGGCGCGGAACTATGACTTCATCACTTTGCAACAACCCAGACACCATACAGAGAAAATGGCCATTCGCTTAGCCGGCTCTCGAATCTGGTTGAAGGGTATCTGGACGAGCATCGAGTCTCGAATACGGTCGAGTCATCCAACGTTCATTCTTTCATGCTAGGCTGCTCTGTCTCTTTTCGAATCACAGGAAGAGGCCGAGGCTTGGGTTTTCGTCGTTCCTGCAATTGCTAGCTCGAGCCCAGATGACCGCTAGGCGACTTGTGAATTCTGGCGAGCAGAACATTTCGTTCAGGAGCTGCACTGCTGTGTTGCACCCATTCCAGCACGGCCAGAGCCCGTTGCGTCCAGCAGCCTTATCAATATCGTTCAAGGGGCATCAGGCAGAGCCGCAAACTTGGCCAATTGCCTATATGCTCTGCTTCACTTTGCTCCAATGACAGGAATCATCTCATAAATGAAGGAGAGTATTCCTCACCACAGTTGACTGACTGCAAAACCGGTCTCCGCGAGCTTTTACTCGTGGAGCCACGGAGTCGATGAAATGAACATTGACATCGGACTGCATCGCCAGGCGGTACGCGTTCCGAAACCACCAGAAGCATACGAACCCAGATACCATTGACCTCGTTGAAACTACAATAGCCGACTGTTTTGAGAAGGGATTGCGCTGCTCCTTTTCGAAAACTTAACAACGCCAATCTGTGAGCACCAGGTACCAATTCGCTCAGTCTGAACACATACTCAGCCGTCGGCATCAATGCCATTGCTACCGCCAGAGAAGTCTCAACAATGCTATGGGAATACGTATGAACGCTCCAGCGAAGCGTGATGAGGTCACGGCCAATGATGGTTTGATCTTAATTGACGAAATGAGTAATGGCAAGGCATCAAAGAAAGCGAAGAAGCTCGCTCGTCCCTGGTTTGTCGAGGTTCTCGTATCTGGAGGACGGAGAGATCATTCTTGGCATGTGAAACCTCGAACTAGAGCACTTGAACCTGGAGGCGTGCTAGTGGTGTATCCGAAGGTGCTGGCGATCGCGTCAGCGCAAGAATCCTACGTGGAGGCCTTTGTGTGGTGTGATGAAACTTGTTGAAGGACATCTTCACTTAAGGGTATTCTGTCTCTTTGAAAGGCTTGCAAGTGTACAGTTCAAGCTTGGAAGGTTTTTATGGCTAAACGCAGAAGGATAAAAAACGGCACGAGTATTTATTCGGACAGTTGCATCCAACGACCATAAAATCCAATCAGACAACTTCAACGAAACCAAAACTGGGGGGAGAAACGCGAGGTTTTACTAACAGAAATTCCCCAAAGAGGGACAACCTGAACACTGGATCCTTACGAATCTAGCCTCTATCGTACCTCTGGCGTCATAGGATATCCGAGTTTTCACTTCTCGATGATCTACGCTCAGTATTGTGGAATTGAGTGGGCGAAACTCCATGGCGACAAGATTCCGCGAAGAAGAATATCCACCACAACGAATAGCCAATGAAGTTCCGGAGCCATAGATCTTCAGGAACTTAGTCTCGGGAACTTGACTGGCGGTGGAGCATGGCGGCCAAGGAGTGGACACGGAATGTCATCAATGTCCACGGCATAGAGAAAAGAACTGGAGCAAGGGATCTCGGTGTGTCAAGCGACATCGGGCTAACCCCGCAGCCGGCAGCCGGGGGCCGGCAACCGACAACCGCGCAGCCGATCGACGCGGACGTCGGGGCTACCCCACCACCCTCACCGAGCTGACCGATTGCACTTCGTAGCAAAGAGATCGAAACGGTCCAAGTCGAGACACGATATTCTTGGACGAGATCTACAAGCTTTTAGATAAGCTGCTGTCAAAAGCCTATCCAAAGGATCGGGTCCACGTTGGACTGGCCAGCATACCGTTCTGTAGCACGTTCAATGACTTCTAGTCTGGAACGACATGTGCCAAGAAACACAACGGAAGTTCTGCAAAGAGCGGCATGTCGCCATCGTGACAATCTGAATGGCGCGCAAGAGGCCATCACGGTCTTCTACAATACAGATTTGACATACGTCTCGAGTCTTGGACGTTGATAGGGCGCCAAGAGTAGCCAAGGGCGGAAGACGCTTGGTATTCTCAGCCCTTCTGTTGGCGAGCTCTTCAAGGTGAGGTTACAGGTGTCTAGTCTAAGCCAAGAGGCTGGGCGCCAGCACGCCAGATGAGGCAGGAATTGCAACTTTGACAACGTCTCTGCGGCTTGTCCTGCAGCTTCTGGCACGAAATTGTCTTGCAATGGCGCGTTGTCGGGAGTCGGGACGAGGGTAGAACGTGGCGCAGGGTCCCTGATGATTGATATCGGGGCTTATCAAGCCACATTTGGCGGGGTACTTTGAATTGGCAATCTTCGTTGCGCCATACCACCGACGAGGACCCTTGACGAAGAACTCATTGCGCTGGTATCGCAAGTTTCTACGCTATTCCAAGAAGCCTCTGCTTTCCTCTTCGACGCAATGTAAACATGGGGTGGTCAGGCTGGGTTGAGGTGTTCTGCCAGACCTGGAGTAGGTTATTACCAATACCCGTCCCGACGCCAAAAAGATGCCGGAACACCGAGCCGCGACATTGCAAAACAGCGACCCCACGGCTTCATGGATCTCCCAGGGTCAGTCTCCGGGTCAGACATGCAACAGCATGGAGAAGAGCAGACTTTTTCCGCGGCTACGCACCGCGACCAAGTCTCTTTTCGGACGGCATGGGATGGGATGGGATGGGACCTTACGGTAACTTATCGTGGCGAACATGACTTAGTCGTGGCTGACTGCGGCAGAGAGGGCTACAAAGAGCCAACATTGGTAATTAAGAGTACATGGCATGCCGCCAAGGAGGGTACATGTGCAAGGTAGCGATCACGTCATTTGAACTAAACAGCCTCCAATTTTTACCTTGGACAACGGGGTATCCGTACAGCACCAGCAGCGCACCTCAGCAACACACGCAAGGCCGACTTGACGCCGGGAACGAGCGACAATTCTCTCACTCTGTCTCTGTCCTTCTGTCTGTGTGTCTGAGGAGAATAAAAGACACCTTTGCCCTCGCCCGTCTCCTCGCCAGATTCCCTCTCCCGCTTGTTCTCCTGTCTCTTCTACTTCATCCGTGAATCCCCTCCCATCTACCTTTTTATACCCAATATTCCCTTTACAACGAGAAGCTGCAGGCTCAATCCGTTGTGTGTCCTCTCTCTTCCTCTCTAAGCATCGTCTAGAGTGTGTCTTTTGACGATCCCATAATAACCCGCTCCCTATTACAAAGCTTCGCGCTTTCTTCAAAGACATACACAATGGCCAACTCTCCCCACGGCGGTGTCCTCAAGGACCTTTTCGCGCGCGATGCGCCCCGCCAGTCTGAGCTGTTAGCCGAGGCCGACAAGCTCCCTTCTCTCCTGTTGACCGAGCGTCACCTCTGCGATCTTGAGCTGATCCTCAACGGTGGCTTCTCTCCTCTCGAAGGTACGTGGTGTTTACTGCCCGCGCTGTTGCTGCTACTTTCTGCTGGCTGCTGCTGCGGCGGTTGCCCCCCTTCTGCATCCGTTGCGCGACGAGGGTGGTGGGGTTGCCTTCCGGAAACGACCCCGCCATGATTTTTTTTGGAGGGGCAAAGTTCCCCACGATTACGTTGCTCGCCCAAGAACAGCGGGACTGACTGTGGTGGCATCTCTATAGGTTTCATGACCGAGAAGGACTACAATGGGTACGTTGAACTTGCGAACAAGGCGTGCTCCCCAGAAGATGCTGGTTGCTAATATGATTGGTGCAGAGTCGTCAAGGACAACCGTCTCGCCGATGGCGCTCTCTTCTCCATGCCCATCACCCTCGATGTCTCCCAGCAGCAGATCGACACCCTCTCCATCAAGCCCGGTGCGCGCATCACCCTCCGCGACCTTAGAGACGACCGTAACCTTGCCATCCTTACCGTTGAGGATGTCTACAAGCCCGACAGGTAGGTCAAACATGTCTTCAGGGAATTGGCATCGGCTGACATGTTTCTCTAGAGTCAAGGAGGCCATTGAGGTCTTTGGCAGCGACGACGACACGCACCCCGGTGTGAAGCACCTCTTCAACAATACCAACGACTTTTACGTTGGCGGTAAGCTCGAGGCTATCCAGCGTCTTGCTCACTACGACTTCCTCGACCTCAGATGTAAGTCCACCATGCCCTTGGCGCATATCAACGCAGCAAACCCACAACATCGAGACTAACGAGTATCAAAAGTCACTCCCGCCGAGTTGAGACAGCACTTTGAGAAGCTCGGCTGGAACAAGGTCGTCGCTTTCCAGACTCGCAACCCCATGCACCGCGCCCACAGAGAGCTCACTGTCCGCGCCGCCCGCTCCCAACAAGCCAACGTCCTTATCCACCCCGTCGTCGGCATGACCAAGCCCGGTGACATTGACCACTTCACCCGTGTCCGCGTCTACAAGGCCCTCCTCCCCAGATACCCCAACGGCATGGCCGCCCTGGCCCTGCTACCCCTGGCCATGCGCATGGGCGGTCCCCGCGAGGCCATCTGGCACGCCATCATCCGCAAGAATCACGGCGCCACGCACTTCATTGTCGGCCGTGACCACGCCGGCCCCGGCAAGAACAAGAACGGCAAGGACCACTACGGCCCGTACGACGCCCAGGTCGCCGTCCAGAAGTACTCTGACGAGCTCGGCATCACCATGGTCGAGTTCCAGGAGATGATTTACATCCCCGACCGCGACGAGTACCAGCCCGCCAACGAGATCGCTCCTGGCACTCACACCGCCAACATCTCTGGTACTGAGCTCCGCAACCGCCTCAAGACCGGCAAGGAGATTCCCGCGTGGTTCTCCTACCCCGAGGTCGTCAAGGTCCTGCGCGAGCAGAACCCCCTCCCCGCCCAAAAGGGCTTCACCATCTTCCTCACCGGCCTGCTCAACAGCGGAAAGGACCAGATCGCAAAGGCCCTTCAAGTCACGCTTAACCAGGGCGGCGGCCGCTCCGTCTCCCTCCTCCTCGGCGAGACTGTCCGCCACGAGCTCTCCTCCGAGCTCGGCTTCAGCCGCGAGGACCGCGACAAGAACGTTGGCCGCATCGCCTTCGTCGCCTCCGAGCTCACCCGCGCCGGCGCCGCCGTCATTGCTGCGCCCATTGCGCCATTCGACGAGGCCCGCCAGAAGGCGCGCGAGCTGGTCGAGAAGGCCGGCCCCTTCTTCCTCGTGCACGTCGCCACCCCGCTCGAGTACGCCGAGAAGACGGACAAGCGCGGCATCTACCAGAAGGCGCGCAACGGCGACATCAAGGGCTTCACCGGTGTCGACGACCCGTACGAGGCGCCCGCCAAGGCCGACCTCGTCGTCAACCTCGAGCAGCAGACGGTCCGCTCAATTGTTCACCAGATTGTCCTGCTCCTCGAGAGCCAGGGTCTCCTGGACCGTTTGTAAACGCAAAAGTTTTGCAGACTTTCATCAATGGGCGATATAAGTGTGATTTATACGGCATAGAGCGTACATGCGCGTAGACCTCTTCTCAAAGCGCAAAAAATTGGGTGGATATATATACATGGGAGTTGAGACTTCAAAGACAGCCTTGGGATGAAAAAGTTGTTTGATGATGAATTTTTACGAGTTATTTTACACAAGAGAGATGGCTATAAAGCACCATATAGTTGGCTAGGGTTGGAGAGTTGGATAACACATTACTCTTACCCAGGTATGGCTGAATAGTGGAATGGAACGATACTTGAATGATACTGCTCCATGGGATCGATCTGAACTGGATGTGAGGGTGAAACGAGCGACCATCCAAACGTGGACGGTACCAGATAAGATATGCTTACAAGGACCAACAACTACTCCGTAGACACTTCAAGATCAAGTAGCTACGCCTACCTACCTCAAACAACCTCGGATAATGGCATACAGGTGATGGTGGGTTGATTGATTGATTGATTCATGGTGGTGTGGTGCGCCAGAGAGAAAAGCACGAGGATGCATGGCCCGGGCGCTTATTCGCTGGGCGGGGCGGTGATTGGTGCGAGAGACAGGTCGACGGGACTCTGCACACATGCGGTTCGTTTGTTGGTGCCCGATGGACGGCGGGTTCGCGCGCCGTTCGTTGCAGGAGAGGAGGGGGGGAGGGAAAGGGTGGAAGGGTATCAATACATAGGAGGAGGGGTGGTAAAGTAGTAGTGTAGGTTGGTTGGGCCAGGATGGGGTTTATTTTGGGAAGCATTCTAGTTGCCTTACTCTGCCAGTCTGTCTTTGGGTGCAATATGGATGTTTGATGGTTAGGTTGGTTCATCGAGTTTGCAGGATGGAAAGTGTATCGGCGTAGGTACTTTAGGTACTTTATGTGTTGGTGCTAAAGGTAAGTAAGTGGTATATGTAGGTAGTCCGGCGAGTCTAAGGTAAGATAGTCAGGTACGTGAGACATGGGCATTTCTATTTGAGGCAGCAATGTCTCTCTCACGGAGCACTGTGACGGCGACTTTGTGCGGTATAGGTAGGCATGATCTTGTGCGTTTGCTTTCCGAGATGATGTGAAGCAAGAGACAGTTTTGCAGCTATGACGGAGGAAAAGCGAGGTGCTTCGAGACGAAACTCGGGTCGATAGCGGGCCTATTCAGACCATTCTTGCTCGAGGTTATTCGAGACTAGTTGCGTACCTACCACCGCGACCTTACGTAGAGAAGTAGTTTGATATTCGATCATTGCTTGAATTGAGACAGTCCAGCCACTTTCTGGTTTATCGTTGAGCCAGGCACTCTAGGCAGGCCGCCTGCTTGAGTAGGTGAATACTTTTCCTTACGTCTGTGTACGATGGCGAATGGCTTCGTCCATTTGCACGTCAGCCACGATGCTAAATCCTCGAGGAACGTGCTGGTCTGCCTATCCAAGGTGCCAAGGTAAGGGTAGGCAGATCATGTCCGATGTTTAATATGCGCGGGAGCTGATGGGCAAAGAGGATGTCACACGGTGCGATAGCGAGCTCTCGTTCGCTTCTGAAACGGTACGTCTTGCCCGCTTCGCACACTGGTTCTGTACCGTGTGGTGGAACGGTTTCTTGACGGAGGGACACTGGCTGATGGAATCTACCAATGACAGTGATGGGTGTGGCCCGAGCTTCTGGCAGTGCCCGTTGTGGATCCCCAAGGGACTTCCCTCCCACAGTCCCATTGCGTCGCCGTCCAGTCCAGGCGCAACTCGTTGCAACTCAGCCCGGTGCCACGTCAGGTTCTGGCCACAGGTCTACCTTACCTTACCTTACCTTACCTTACGGAATACGTGGGGTGGGTAGGTATTGCATACAATTCAACGTACGGACACCTCCTCACCAAATCACTCATTCGACACCTCTCTCAACTGAATCAGTGCCCGAATAATGCGTTGCAGGAGGACATGTGTCACCGCCTACTCCCCTACTCTAAATCACCCTTCGCCTGCCTTCCCTTGACATCCATCTCCCCGTTATTCTTCTCCACCCCCTCCTTCGCTTTTACGCTGTAAGGCACGCAAGAAGCGGTAGCGTATACCCATAGATGCAGTAACGTAGAGACTCGGGTGTGGGCCGCCCAGCCTACCTGTACTTGTACCCAAAGTACCAACCAACCCGCCGCAGTTCCCTTCAACGCCTTACAGGGGGGTGCTGCCCCTCTGATCGAATCACATTCGGCTGCGTTGCTCGTCAACTGCTTGCAACCGCCCGTCTTTCCACTCCCGTTACCTTGGACTCATCCCTCCCGCCTGGCCTTGCTTGGCCTGCACTCATGACTTTGGAGGTGAAGTGTGCACCTCACTCATTCACTCCCTCGGTTGGGAGCGTCCATCCATCTCCCGTCTCGTTACTTCTCTCGTCCTTCTTGCATCATTTTCCATTTCCTGCCTTCCACGACCCGACGACAACGACGACATCTCGAAAAAGTTAAAGCGCATCATTCCTGACGCTCCAAACATTAGACGCAGCAAACGAAGAGCCAAACGGATCCTCCCCCCGCCACCTACCGTTCGGTCCAGGTCAGGGGTGCGCATTTTTCCAGAAATTCCCCAGTTTTGTAACAACTCCCGCCCTCTTTGCTCAAGACGACGAGGGTCGGTGAGCAAAACCCCAGACCAGGTCCTGCCTGCTTCGGTTCCCTTTTCCTTCTTCCCGCCAGCTTTCTCGACATCTTGGAACTCAAACACTGAACCATCCCACCCTGGACCTCGAACCACGGTCCGCTTTGCCTTTTGGGCTCCCAGAAACCTTCCAACCCACCACCGCCCTCTTTGGCAAGCTTCGCTGTCGGTCAACTTTCTTGCCTCTTGCTCGTTGCGCCGACGGCTTTTCGACTCGACCCCGTCACCGTCACCGTCACCGTCACAGTCAACCTTTCTCTACTGCTACTACGACTCGAAGAAACCCCCGCAGCAAAGCACAAGCAATTCGGCTAGCTCTCTCGGGCTACGCACCCATGCTCCGCCATGTCCTCCCAGGATCGTGACGTCGAGGTCGATGTCGACGCTGATGGCCGAGTAATCTCCCTCCCCGACTTTGGGGATATGCGCCCGCGCAAGGAGGCCGAGAAAAGTGAAAAGGCCGAAAAGAAGGCTTCTCGAAGCAAATCAGAGCGCAGCAGCAGGTCCGACAGAGAAAAGGGAGACAGGGAACACCGATCCCACCGCGTGAGCTCCCGCTCCTCCAAATCGAAAATCGCCGACGGCAGCGGCCTCGGCAGTGACGTCCATTCCCACTCCCACCGCCGCCACCGCACCCGCGAAGAACGAGACCGCGACCGAGAGAGAGACCGCGGACACGACCGCTCCTCTTCCATGACCGACCTCGTTCCCGAAATGTCTCGGACCTCGCTGACTGGTCCGGCGTCGACTGACCGCATCTCGCTTCCCTACCCGACCTTCAGCAAGGCCCACAGCAAGGAGGCCGTCCGCAATAGTCGCGAGGACGTCTCAGGATCAGGTGTTGGTGCTACGAGAAGGGCCGATCCATTCACCCCCGAAGCCACCGATCTGGGCGACAGCGAACTCAAGCGATCCCAGAGCGTCGATCATTCCGACAAGCAGCGCAAAAGCTCGTCCAAGAAGGAGTCGAGGCCGCCTAGTCCGCCCGAGACCGACTTGTCGGGCAAGAGACGATCTGCCACCCCCGAGGAATCGTCAAAGAAGGTGCGCGAGGAGCGTTCGAGCTCGAGACTTAGCGGCGAGACTTTCAAGAGAGACCGGGAAGACAGGCCAAGCTCGCGTCTCAGTGGTCTTTCGAGATCCGGCTCCAGAGCCGACGATAAGTCCCGGGTGAGCTTCAAGTCAAAGACTAGCAGCCAGGCAACGTACGTCAAGTCGCCGGCGTTCCCACCTGGCGTCCAGGAAAGCTTGAATATCAAGCCGAGCACTTCTAGATCTTCCTCGAAGCGAAGCTCCTCGAGCAAGAAAGGCCGGCGTGCAGAGTATCACGATGGCGACTCGTCTCCCGAAAGCCTGCAGGATTCATCTCCTAGAACCCCTACGCAAGCACCGCCATTCCCACCGCCCTTCGCCATGAACGACAAGCCTCCGGGCCCCCCTCCGCAGGTTTACCCCGAAAACGACATCACACCATCGGCCACTCCAATGACTGATATGCCTCCTCCAACGGGACCTCCTCCTCCCCCGCCACCACCTCCAGCCCTGGATGTACAGGAAGCACCGCGGGTGGACTACCTTTTACAGAACGGCGGTCTGATCCAGCCTATCCCGAAAACATTCCTCTCTGTTCTACCTCGCCAGAATGGCGCCCGGCCATCTAACCCACCCCTAGTTGGCCCGCAGACTTTGTTCGCACCCTTTTTCAACCTCTTGGATCAGTACAACTCGGTTCTCAACCGCAACGGCTCCGTAGCAGTTGCGACTGGCCACCGATCTGTGGCTCGTCGCCTTCTAGACCGTCTCGAAAACGTCTTTTCCAGAGAGCTTCCTGAGCATGGATGCACTTGTGTCGTGTGTGAAAGAGGCCCCGATATTCAACATCGTGGCCTCGGCTGGGGAGAGGTCCTCGAATGGGTTAGCGGTCGCATCGATCTTCCGCAATGGCCACCGTTTGACCTGGCCAGCTTGGGATCCAATGCTGCCGAAGTGTCAGCTGAGCTGCCACCGCGACCCGACTCGCCGGTCAAGATAGACCCTGATATTGCCGAGGAGTTCCGCGAGCACTACCTCAGACAGTCTAAGAAAGTCAGGGGAGCCGTGGATAAGTGGCTCAACACCTGCGGAGAGACCACTGCGCCGCCGCCACAAGATGTAGACGATGAGACACTCACGTTTGCCATTCTCACCAACATGGACCCGGAAGATCAGCCGTATTTTAATGCGATTCTGGCTGGCTCTAATCACCCGAAGCCGGCAACAAGGGCTCCTACACCCTTGCACCGCGCCCGCCCGGATCTCCTTGTCAGAGCCGGCTTGGCTCTACAGCG